GGTTAGGAGTATGTTAAGTTACAGTTCTGTACCTATGTCTTTGTGGATGTACGCATTAAAGACCGTTGCGTATCTGCTTAATAGAGTTTCTAGTAAGGCAGTTCCAAAGACTCCATATGAACTGTGGATAGGAAAGAAACCCAGTTTAAGACATCTTTATGTCTGAAGTTGTCCAGCAGAAATAAGAGTGTATAATCCACATGAAAAGAAGCTTGATGCTAGAACCATAAGTGGTTATTTCATCGGCTATCTTGAAAAATCAAAGGGGTACATATTCTATTGTCCTAACCATAGTATGAGAATAGTTGAGTCTGAAAATGTAAGGTTCATTGAAAATGGTCAGTTTAGTGGGAGTGGCGAAACACGAAAGGTGGAAATTAAAGAGACACGTGCGGAAACTCCTATAGTTGGTGTCTTTTCTCCAGTTGTCATTTCTCTTGTTGTATCACGGTCACACAACATAAGGAGACAACAAGTTAATGTTCCAAACCCACAAGAACAACATATAGAGGATGAACCAGCTGAAAATGCACAAGTCACAAGTGAGCAAGAGGAAGGTGAACCACAAGAGATAACATTAAGGAGGTCTGTAAGGCAGAAAAGACCAGCTATTTCGAATGACTATGTGGTTTACTCACTTGAGCATGAATGTGACTTGAGTATTGATGAGTATCCAATCTCATTGAAGCAAGCCATGGAATGTTACAATGATGAAAAGTGGTTGAATGTCATGAAAGAAAAGTTAAAATCAATGAGTGACAACAAGGTATGAGATCTAGTTGAGTTGCCTGAAGGTTTAAAATGAGTCAGTTGTAAATGGGTCTTTAAAACTAAACGTGACTCAAAAGGCAACGTTGAGAGATACAAGGCTAGACTTGTTACTAAAGGATACACTCAAAAGGATGACATAGACTATAAAGAGACCTTTTCTCCAGTTTCAAAGAAGGACTCTTTAAGAATTGTTATGGCTTTAGTGGCTCATTATGACTTAGAGCTCCACCAAATGGATGTAAAGACCACCTTTCTGAATGGTGACTTCGAAAAGGAAGTTTATATGGATCAGGCAGATGGCTTCTTGACCGCAGGTAAAGAAAGTATGGTGTGTAAGTTAAAGAAATCAATATATGAGTTGAAACAAGCTTCCAGATAATGGTATCTTAAGTTCAATGATACCATCACGTCATATGGTTTTGTAGAGAATACTGTTGACCGGTGTATCTATATGAAGGTCAGTGGGAGCAAGTTCATCATTTTAGTCCTGTATGTTGATGACATCCTTCTTGCTACTAATGATGTTGGGCTGTTGCATGGTGTAAAGGAATTTCTCTCTAAGAACTTTGAGATGAAAGATATTGGTGAAGCTTCCTATGTGATTGGAATAGAAATATTCTGTAATAGATCACAAGGATTATTAGGATTGTCTTAGAAAGGCTACATCAACAAAGTATTAGAGATATTCAAAATGGAAAAGTGCTCATCAGGGGTAGTTCTAATTCAAAGGGAGACAAGTTTAGTAAAATGCAATGTCTCAAGAATGAGTTGGAGCAGAAAGTAATGGAATCTATTCCCTATGCATCAGTGGTCGAGAGTTTAATGTATGCTCAAACATGCACTCGGCTTGATACCAATTTTGTTGTTGGAATGTTAGGCCAATATTAAAGTAATCCCGGAATGGACCACTGGAAGGCTGCAAAGAAAGTCCTTAGGTATTTACAAGGCACCAAGGACTACATGATTACTTATAGGAGATATAGTTGGAAGTGGTTGGCTACTCGGATTCAGACTATGCTGGATGTGTACACTCAAGAAAATTGACCTTTGGCTATATCTTCTTGTTAACTGGAGGTGCGATTTCATGGAAGAGGGGAAATGAGTCCATTATTGCTACGTATACCATAGAAGCAAAATTTGTGGCATGCTTTGAGGCCACTATTCATGCTTTGTGGCTGCGGAACTTTGTCTTAGGGCTTGGTATTGTTGATAATATAGAAAAGCCACTGAGAATGTACTGTGATAATTCCGCAGCCGTCTTTTTCTCTAAGAATGATAAGTATTCAAATGGAGCAAAGCATATGGACTTAAAATACTTATTAGTGAAAGAAGAAGTGCGGAAATAGAAAGTGTCTATTAAGTATATTGGTACAGATTTAATGATAGAGGATCCGCTAACTAAGAGATTGCCCCTAAAACATTTTCTGGCCATGTTGGTAGAATGGCCATTATAGACAAGTCCTTGTTAGCATGATTGTGTGATTCACATATATGTGTATAGATTGTTTTGCTCATATTATTGTAGACATTTTTGGAATTCAATAAAAGTATTATTTCTGCTTGTTTACTTGTTATCTGAATTGTGTTAATGTACATGTATGGTTTGAGTTTGATAACAGGTTAAGTGTTAAAAGCACATCAGAGTTACAACATGTAGTATGACTGATTAAAGCTGTTTTGATTTGAGTTGGTTCTGTGATACTTGGAAGGAATCATGTCGTCAAATGACTTGTGACCGCCATGATCCGATCAACTTAAATCATTAAAAGATGATGACCTGATATTATCAATGATATGCGCACTTACAGTTCATTAAATCTTCAAGTCGTCACATAGGCTAAGTGGGAGAATGTTAGATTATTTTAATAATCTTATTATAGTGTCCTATATAACTTATAGCATGACTCTAATTAATGATTTAATGTGATGGTGGTTAAATATAAAATATAGAGTCATTGAGGGTATAATTGTAAATACAATTATAAGGAAACCCTTCCTTTTTCCTTCATATAAATTAAAGAGTGGTTACCAAATAGGGGTTACGACATTTCCTATTTTTCACTTTCATGGTCTCTGAGTGAGCTCACGATAAACGCAAGAAAGAAACTTTCTCTCAACCATCCGAGAGGAGCTGAAAGAGGAAAGAAAAGTTGGGGAAAATACCAAAGGATCAACGATACCAAAGAGAAAGGTAACATCAAGGAATAATGGATTCAGGTTAGTGCTCTCTAAACCCTTAATTGTATGAGAACCATATATTGTGTTGTGAGAGTAACATAATTCAAGATCATAAGGGGAAAAGGTAATTTCATAATAGTCATTTCATAATGAAAATTACATAATGGATTAAAGAAAATTCTAACACTTAAAAGATTAAAAAAGGTCTGTTGAGCGCCTCACTGCTATTTCATAATAGATCCGAACACTTGCCACGGATTGACTTCAAGATCATAATTGTTGTAGTGAATAACTAAAGAAAATAGATTATATGAAAGAAAATATAGAATGGATAGATGGAAAATAGAAGAGAACGAAACTCAATATAAACATCTTTCATAAGTTCACTAATTCTATTTTATGTTGGCGAGTTTCTTTATATGTGTTGTCTGGAAAGAGGAGGACTCGATGATTATTCGTTTACCGGAACCAAAAGTTAAAATTTTGGTAGATAGGGATCCCATAAAAACTTCTTTCGAGGAATGGGCAAAACCCAGTCATTTCTCAAAAACAATAGCTAAAGGACCTTATACTACTACTTGGATCTGGAACCTATATGCTGATGCTCATGATTTCGATAGCCATACTAGTGATTTGGAGGAGATTTCCCAAAAAGTTTATGGTGCCCATTTCAGCCAACTCTCCATCATCTTTCTTTGGCTGAGTGGCATGTATTTCCATGGTGCTCGTTTTTCTAATTATGAAGCATGGTTAAGCGATCCTACTCACATTGGTCCTAGTGCCAAGGTGGTTTGGCCAATAGTGGGCCAAGAAATATTGAATGGTGATGTAGGGGGGTTCCGAGGAATACAAATAACCTCTAATTTTTTTAGATTTGGTGAGCGTCTAGAATAACTAGTGAATAACAACTCTATTGTACCACAATTGGTGCATTGATCTGGAGGGACCAAAAACGAAGATGTAACATACATCACAAAATGTCTTACCTTTTACCATGTTTCCTAGTGAATGGATAACAAACCTCCATGGATTTTTAAGTTTTTGTGGAATTTTCTTTTGTAATATGACATTGTTCTCTCAAATCAGTGAAATTATTTCATTTTCCCACAATTTCCTTTTTCTACGTTAGTAGTTTTCTTGTAATTTTTCTTTTTCTTCATCTTCTTTCTTCTCAAGCAAATTGCATTGTGTTATGTATAAGGATTATAATGAAAAGTGTGTTGTGAATAAGATCCAAGTAAAAATTGTTTAAATACAAGAAAATAACAATAAAACATTAACTATATAGGTTATTTTATAAATAATTTTTATTCAGGAACTTATTTATAAACGTTTATGCTATATACAAACCAAATAAAAAAAATGAGTTTTGTGTAAGAACTAAAATCGTATTTAAACCTATTTTTAATAATTTTTAGGAATGTTCAAAATCAATATGTTACAAGTGATTACTTCTTAGAAAAATAAGAAAATTAAGGCTTTATAAGTTGAAAAGAATTGATTTCATATTGAAGATCCACAAAAAAGATATTTTTTTTTTATTTTAAAAATAAATTTGTTACTATTTTAATAAAATTAATTTCTATATTTAATTTTAAAACTTCATTTTCAAACAAATTTTAACCTCATTTTTCTCAAAATTAATTTAAACTACAGTATTGAGAATGTTAGGTGAGTATTTCGTTTATACCATTTGGCACAATGTTATGTCACACTTAATACTAGTAGCAGAAGTGTCACAAGTTAGAAATGTATTTGGTGGTAATTAAGATGGTAGAAAGTTGTTGACATGTAAAACTTTCCACACATCTAAATCATGAACATAAAATTGTCACCGAAGTTTAATAAGATAATAATTTTCTTACAACATGCTAAACTTGCTTGCCACCAACTCCTTTCCAATACCATTTCAAGCTTTCATTTATAATATGATAATTTTTAAGTTCATGTGTAAGTCTTCACCGTCTCTACACTATAGTATTTGCTAAAACCACAGAAAGATGCCACAAGGTGATTCTATTGCTAGTGTCACGCAGCATGGTGCACCCACTAAGCGTGTTCCTACTCTAGGGAAGGCCACAATACTTGCAATAGGTAAAGCTTTCCCTAGCCAAATTATCCCTCAAGAATGCTTGGTCGAGGGCTACATACGTGATACTAAGTGTGAAGATGCATATATTAAGGAGAAATTAGAGCGTCTCTGTAAGTACATTAATTCTTTACGTTATTATTTTACCAAAAATATCAACCTTTTCTTCCTTGCTTCAAAACAATTAACAAAAGTACAAGATTTAAGTACATATTTTTTGTTTGGTTTATGAATTAAAGTTAGAATTTTACCTCCATAAAATGTTTACTTTTATGTTGTTACAGGTTATGAAAGTAAAACTTTAATTTTAATTGACAAAAAGACAAAGAACATTTAAGAAACTCCACTTAAGTTTTGTTTTTAGTAAAATTGGTTCTATAACGAAGGTAAATCTAAAATTATGGTCTATAATTTTAATTGCGTCTCTCGTTTTATAATGAAGATAAATTTTAAGGAGTTCCGTACCAAGAGGACTTTTGAAGGAAATTGGAAGAGAGGTCAAATTATTTTGTTTTAAATAAAATTATTAAAAATTACTTTTTTTTTTAACAAATAGAATATATAAATTGATATATTAATATAAAATTTAATGTTTTAACCATATATTTGTTATCATAAATAATATAATTCTCTTAATTTAAAACTAAAAAGTATATTCCTCCCTTACTTTCTCTCTAAAATCTTTCTTCTAGCATACCCTTAATTGTGATTTTATCCTAATAGTATTGATGCAAAGTTATCTATAATCATATTGCATCCACAATTAAGATTGCAAGTCTACATTATAAATGCATTCCCACTATTATTGGATTCCATTTGCTAGTAACTTTTTGCAATATAAAGGTTTTGAAAGTCTATGTAACTGTCACTAGAATTGTAATTTAAAATCTTGAGAAGATAATTAAAGTTTGACACTCATAAAAGCAACTAATAAAAACTATAATAAACATAAGCTAATTCTTTAATAAAAATTACTAATCTATACTACAATACTTTCTTCACTTTTTAGGTAAAAATACAACAGTGAAGACAAGATACACAGTAATGTCTAAGGAGATCCTTGACAAATACCCAGAGTTGGCCACAGAGGGGTCACCAACCTTAAAGCAAAAACTTGAAATAGCAAATCCAGCAGTGGTGGAGTTGGCAACCAAGGCTAGCCTTGCTTGTATCAAGGAATGGGGAAGGCTAGCTCAAGACATAACCCACATTGTCTATGTTTCTTCAAGTGAAATTCGCCTACCAGGTGGTGACCTTTATCTTGCAAATGAGCTAGGCCTTAAGAGTGATGTTATTCGTGTAATGCTATACTTTTTAGGTTGCTATGGTGGTGTCACTGGCCTAAGAGTAGCCAAGGACATAGCAGAGAACAACCCTGGTAGCAGGGTTCTGCTCACTACCTCTGAGACTACAATACTTGGTTTTAGACCCCCTAACAAGGCTAGGCCTTATGATCTTGTGGGGGCAGCACTTTTTGGTGATGGAGCTGCAGCCGTGATAGTTGGAGCTAACCCTGTTATGGGTCAAGAGTCTCCCTTTATGGAGTTAAACTATGCTGTCCAAAAATTCTTGCCTGAGACACACAATGTGATTGATGGGAGACTTTCGGAAGAAGGTATAAATTTCAAGCTTGGAAGGGACCTTCCACAGAAAATTGAAGACAACATAGAGGAGTTCTGTAGGAAGCTTATGGCTAAAAGCAATGTGAAGGAGTTTAATGATTTGTTTTGGGCTGTTCACCCTGGTGGGCCTGCAATTCTCAACAAGCTTGAGAGTACACTCAAATTGAGTAGTGACAAGCTGGAGTGTAGCAAGAAGGCACTAATGCATTATGGGAATGTTAGCAGCAACACTATATTTTATGTCATGGAGTATATGAAGGAGTTTCTAAAAGAAGATGGAGAGGAATGGGGTTTGGGATTGGCATTTGGTCCAGGAATTACTTTTGAAGGCATTCTCCTACGCAACCTATAATCTTGAACATGAATTTGGATTAGGAAGCTGCACTTAATGGTGCTATTTTTCTTATGGTTTAAAATCTTTCTTAATAATAAGGCATTGTCGTAGAAAATTAATTGCTTTATGAATATCAATAGGAAAATTTTATTACGATACTTTAAGTTCTCAATTCTTATTGCTTTGTTTACTTTATTTTATAAACCTTATAGAACTAGCTCCTACTTCATAAATTTATTATTTTTACTTTCAAAATAAATGTGATGAAAATTGTGCATAACTATTTAGTGTAAGGTGTAACACCTTAAATTTAATTTCCAAAATAAATGAATTTCGAGGATATGAGAATAATAAAAAATTTCATTCAAATGGTTTTCGACACATAGTTCAACAAAGTATTCTAAAATAAGGGTGAATTACAATTTGAATCAATAACTACTACAGAACTTAATTAATACATCAAATTTTCAAAAGAAATTCCTAAGTCCTATAGCAATTTCATCCACTCCTTCATTGAGCCCAGTGCTAATCGTCTTGGTTACCTAAAAAATAAATACAAGGCTGAGTACTCTACACTATCCAACACATGCACATAACACAGAGTTACACCCCAAACTGTCGTTTTGTCGCTACAGCGAGAAACCTCTCACTATAGCAAGACATCTCTCGTTACAACGAGAACACTCTGCACCAGACACTTAGCCTAATTCTCATCAATCAAACCAGCCACGGTCCAACATTCTTAGCACACTCACACACACACACACACACACACACACACACACACACACATATATATATATATATATATATATATATATATATATCTAAATATATACTCTTATAATCGCATATTTATCCATACACATTCGTACACATCATCATTCAATATTCATCATGCACTCAAGTGCAAATTTCAACATCCATTCACATTTACACACACACACACACACACACATATATATATATATATATATATATATATATATACATACATATAACAATAATCAATATTGCAAAAATTTGGGGCGTTACATAAGAGATTTGTGCTCACTCATAGAGGCATAATATAAAGCACTTATAAACATATTTTCATAATTTGAAGATGTCCTTTATTTCAAGCGCACAACTTTTTATACAAATGACTTAAATTTTTTTCAATTTTAGCATTGTTTTTAATTATTTTCTAACCTCATTTCAAATTGTTCAAGAAAAAAGATACAAAAAGTCAAAAAAATTAATTTTTGCTTACTATGTTATAAAATTAGACTTTAAAGGTACCATTTTCTAAATAAATATTTTTAAAGTTATAATTCATGCAAAAATAATTTAATACAAGGAAGATATCATTTCTAGTATTTAAATATATAGTTGTTAGGCTACATGACAATAACCTTATCTTTATAGTAAAGGTAACCCTTTAATTATACTTTATATACAAATTAACAAATATTTGGAATCATGACTATAAGATAATAGTAATTAGTTATGTTAGTTATATTGTATTAGTTCAGTCTTATTATGTAATGCCATTTTTCTAATGACGAAAATACATAATTTTTATTTTGGCAACACAAACTTCAAGTAATTTCTATTCTTGTCTTGGTGAATCTGTTGTAGCTCCAAAATAGTCAGGACAAAATAATGATCCAGTAACCATATAAGAGGCCCATAATCTGGAGAGTTTATAAGAGGAAAAATAGGAGAAAGGAAGGAATAAGTGATGAGCTGGCATAGAGAGAAGGTAGCAATGAGAGTTAGTTATAACATGATGCATTTTCTATATAGGGAGGGGCGGGTGTAGTGAGAAGGCACAGAGGAATAACTTTTGGTTAGTTATAGATTGTGGGCCAAAGTGATTGTACTCCTATTGATATTTTAACTGTTCAATAATACAAATTTAGTATATTTCTCACATTTTTTTCATTATTTTTCTTAATTTGTTCATTGTTGGATTCAGTTTGTAACAAATTAGTCCGACTTGCCAGATAACTCGGAGGGTGAATGCCACCTAAGAAGTGAACATAAGGAAAGAACGTATATAGCATGGAGGGTAAAATGACGGTGATTGAGTGAGAAATTGTTGGATTGAAATCAATGATGGAGGCAATGTATTTACAAATAGAAGAGAACTGGGCGAGACTAATAGCATTACTTACCAAAAGCTCAAAGAAATGGCTAAGGAAAAAACAATCAATGGCTGATAGGACATGTACTACATCGAGAGACAATGAAATTTGCCATTTGTTATACCAAGTGCTTTTGGATCACAAACGAAAATGGTTTTGTTTCAAATGTGGAGGCAAGTATCATCCACGTCATCTGTGTCTTGATCGACAATTGAAAGTAATGTTCTTAGAGGACACAAATGAGGAGGATGGTGAAGCCAACATGCTTGCTATGGAAGAAGACGATATAGCGAACATAAATGGAGAGTGCAACGTGTTGCATCTCGAAGGTCAAAAGCTAGCACCACAAACACTAAAGTTACAGGGTGCAATGCATAGAGTACCTATCATGGTGTTGGTAGACAACAAAGCTACACATAATTTTATTTTAAAGAAGCTAGTGGCAACTATGGGGTGGCCAACTAAACTCACAAAAGTGATGAGTATTAAACATGGGAGATGGTTATAAAGCCTACGTGCAGGGGAAGTGTAGAGGAGTGCAAATTGAGTTGGATGAGGTAATTATCATCATCAACGCCTTACTCTTTGATTTGAAAGGCATAGATATGGTATTGAGGATATCATGGTTGGCTTCACTGAGTGAGATGTTAATAGATTAGGGGAAAAGATCTATGACATTTCAGATAAATAATGAATGGGTGATAGTGAAAGCTAGAGGAGGGAAGGTTACAAATCAAGAAGCATTACAAAGTTTTTTTGGGAAACCAATCAAGGTGTTAGAAGGTTGTTTGTTTGTAGTAGAGTCGCAAAGACAGTTAAAGACAAAGGATGGTGCTCCTGATCTGCATAAAGAGCAACTACTACAATTAGAGAGGTTGCTCAATCAATATAAAGAAGTATTTCATGATCCAAAAAGGTTGCCCCCTAGAAGGCAAAAAAGCATGCGATCAACCTATGTGAAGGAAAAAGACCTATCCTAGGCCCTATCGATACCCTTACCACCACAAGGCAGAGATTGAAAAGAAAGTAAAGGAGATGCTAGATTCTGGTATGATACGGCACAGTAACAGTGGTTTCTCTACCCCTGTAATCTTAGTAAAAAAAAAAAAAGATGACTTGTGGAGGATGTGTGTTGGCTATAGAGCGTTGAACAAGGTAATAATGCTTGACAAATTTTTGATACCAATGATAGATAAATTATTAGATAATCTACATGGGGCTGCATTTTTCTCAAAATTGGATCTCAAGTATGGATACCATCAAATATGGGTCAAAGAGAAGGACATCCACAAAACTCCATTCGAAACTCATGAAGGCCATTACGAATATCTTGTGATGCCTTTTTCGTTTGATGAACACTCCCTATACTTTTCAAGGTTTGATGACCGAGATTTTTTGGCCATTACTAAGAAGATTTGTATTTGTATCTTTTTTTTATGATATTCTAGTGTATAGCTCAGATTGGGATACACATATGCTAGACTTGAAGATAGTGATAGACATTCTATAGCAACATCAGTTGGTGGTGAATAAACACAAATGCTCTTTTGCTCAATTTTCTGTGGAGTATTTGGGTCATGTAGTTTCACATAAGGGAGTAGCCATAGATCCCACAAAATTTCAAAGTGTTATCCAATGGCTTGTACCTGCAAATGTTAAAAGAGTTCGAGGCTTTTTAGTTTTGACTTGTTATTATCGCAAGTTTATTCAAAATTATGGCAAGATAGCGAGGCCTTTAACTGAGCTCACTAAGAAGGATGGTTTCTATTGGAACCCCAATGCACAGGTTGCTTTTGAAGTATTAAATTAGAAATTAACAACAACACTAGTATTAGCTCTTCTAGGTTTCTCTCCACCATTTAGCATTGAATTTGACACATTCGGCAAAGGAATAAGGACAATCTTAACACAGGGCAAGCATCCTGTAACTTTCTTCAGCAAGGCTTTAAGTGAACCCAACCTATCTAAGTTTACCAATGTGAAAGAGCTAATGGCGATAATGTTGGCTATTCAGCATTAGCATCCTTACCTATTGGGAAGACAATTTACAGTATTCATAGATCAAAAGAGCTTGGGTCAACTATTACAACGACATATATCCACTATGAATCAACAAAATTGGGCAGCAAAGCTTCTTGGTTATCAGTTTAACATCGTTTATAGGCCTGGGTTGGAGAACAAAGGGGTTGATGCTCTGTCTCACAAGTATGATATGGGTGAGTTTTGTTCCCGCATTTCCTATCCTATTTGGGAAGATAGGGAGTGATGAATGCATATTTTACTAGATTTTTAAGTAGTTTTCTAGGTTATGTTTTATAGAAAATGTAATTTGGAAGGTGAAAATTGCACAAAAATATATAAATATTCAATAAAGTCAATATTTGTCTTTAATAATTCAAATTGTGTGAATTTAATAGAATTATGATGTAATTTTATTAGTTTTGCAGGAAATTCTAAGCTAAGAGTCTTGAGGATAAGGATTGAACAATATTCAATTGAAGAAAGTGGAAGATTTGAGCTTAAAAGATCAAGAATAAAGTGATATGTGCTGGGCGTAGCAACTTTAGGTGCATAGAGTTAACACTTTGAAGAAGAAAATTCATGAAGATCAAGTGCGTAGCAACTCTAAGTACTGAAAGTGAATACTCTAGCAACAGAATTCATGAATAGCCTGCGCAGAATTGAGTGTCCACTCTAACTGTTAAGTGTAGCCACGTGCAGAATTGAGTGTACACTCTAACTGTTGAGAGTAGCCACTCGCAGAATTGCGTGGACACTATAGTCATTGAAAGTAGCCACTCAAAGTGCGTGGACACTCTGGTCACCTAAAGTAGCCACGCGCAAGGTTTATTTGCATAGAACACATGTGCGTGGACACTCTTACTCCTT